ACAATGTGGTCAAATCAAGAGTAGTCTTTTTCATGGTGAAATTTAATACAATTGTGTATGAGCCGTTGATTGTGGTGGTAACACTATTGAGCGAAGTCTCCTGTAGTTACACTAATCTGCTCTCTCTGATGGTGTGCTATGACACCATTGCTCAGCTAGGACAAAAAATACACATCACTGTTCATCACAGAACATCAGTGTTCTGGTGACAAAGCGGTTTTCACTGACTTAACCTGGATTGGGTATTCTTTGTGTTCAGGTGCCCATCTCTGTGCTAGGACCACGCTTTGGAGGGGGCCTTTCTTAGTGTGCAGAGTCCTGATGTTCAGCATGCTGTTTCTGTCTCCCTGCTCTCATCTGCCTGAAATTTGTCAAGTGTGCCTGACTCTTGGGGTGCCACTCCTCTCTGTCACAGAATGGTGTGTGTCAGCGCCTCTCCTTGCAGTGGTGCTGTCTCAGGGCTGTTCTGCACTCCCCAGGAGTGTGTCCTGTACCTGGCTGGCTTCTGCTGACTGCAATGGATGCATGCTCTGCCTGTGTATTAGGCAAGTTAGTCTCTGGAATGTCCCTTCCATCCCGGCCTCAGTCCTGCTTTCCTAGCGCATTGCTAGCCATTTCTGTTGCCTTTAAAACACCTGCACCAGGACAGGCCTTAGGTGAGATGTGTGCTAAACATGCCCTCAGTGTTTGTGCCTCACAGGGTTCTCAGAATGAGGATGCTGCCTGTACCACGTGTAGCTGCTCCCAAATGACACACTACTTCTGGTTTCATCAGCTGCATTTGGGATGTGTGAAGTGGCAGTGACGCTGTTGTGTGAAGATTCTGCCTTCTCAGGTGCAGCAGCTGTGGGAACAGATGCTGTTTTCACAATCCCTTTGTCAGTGAAGTGTCCACCTGGGCCCCTCTGTCACCCGGGGGCATCACAGCTCCTGCTGACTGGACTCTCCTACATAAAACTCTCTATTAGTGTTGGTAATTAGTACTTCGAGCTCAGGATATCTGAGATGTCTGTGGCCAAAGGCAGGAGGCAGAGGAGCCTGGGTTCTCATGCCTGTTCTATGCACGGTGCATGCAGAGGAGTTCTGGGCTGCGACAGGCACTCGAGGAAGGGATCTCGTATGGCATGCGAATGTAGAAGGGCTGGTTACACCACAGGGGCAATGTCTCAGCAACTGATGCTGCAGAGCCCCTTGAGTGTCTCTGAGCCCGAAAGTCTGTCTTAGAGTGAGGGTTTGGAGAGCTTGCCTTAACACCATGTGTGTTACTGAAACTCCTCGATCTCAGCCACACTGCAGTGGTCTGAATGGACAGCACTGACAAATGAGGCAAGATGCTGTGACTTAAATAGCTTTGTACTGTAGGCAGGTGAAGGGCTGTGAAGGTGCTTGCCCTGTTGTTTACCTGGCTGCTGACCTGAACTTTGGCTTGCTGCACCTCTGTTGGGTGCGGTCCTGAGCTCTGTGGGACAGGCCGTGCTGAACTGGGCCTTGGTGCTGTTATCCAGCTCTGTCAGTCCCGCCGTTGTGCGTTTCACCTGCCAGCTCTTCCCTGGAAGCAGTGGTTGGAAGCACAGCTCATGACGGGGGACTGAGATGAAGAATCCATGTATCTGGCTGTTTGCCCCAAAGGGTGGGCAGGAGGGGGCCACTGGCAACTCTTCAGCCCAGCTCAGCAGTACTGGTATCACAGGAACGTGTCCTCACTGGACAGGGCTGTACGGCTTAGCACCACAGTGGTGGTTGTGCTGAGCACTGAGGCTCTCCCGGGACAGGGAGTGTGTGAGACAGGCTCTGCTGCAGTGAGAAAGGCTGTGAATGAGCCCATGGAGGCAGCTTTTATTTCTTGGGTTTACAGGGAAAGAAGGAGATAAAGCCAGGAAGACATTGCAGAGTGGGCTGGTTACCTGGGCTTTTCTGCTGGCAGAGATGTGACAGACCTCTCAGAGAAATATACCATGTTCCTGCTGCTATTGTCTTGGGTAGGAGAGCCGCGGTCTGTCCTGCCTGGAGGAGGCCCTAATCTTCTCCAGCTCACACTCTGTAGCAGGAGTCTGTGGGATGCAATAATGGGTGTCTGTAGCCATCTGTCCCATCCCATGGAACATGCCTTGGGTTAGCTGCACAGCAGAGCCAAGCCTATCTCTGGGCTGTGCATTCACAGCAATGAGAGCTCATCACTACCAGACTATGCAGAGGAAGCTCTGTCTGGAAGAGAAGGAAGCTGCAGAGGGCCCTCTGCCTTCCCCTTCCAGCTGCTGAGCAGCTTTTATATTGCACTTTTTACATTGTGTCCCTGTCCCCACCCCACACTTCAAGTCACTTTGTCCCATAGAGAACTAACAATCCTTGTTACTCAGAAAATATTGTAAAAGAAACTACAGCAGCTGGAGTAGCCCAAATGCTAGTTCCTGCCCACAGCAGCACGCGTGCCTTCCCCAGCGTCACTCACAACTGCTCCCTGTCTTTCAAGCCATGCTAGAGCCTGACACTTGTCAGCAGCTGCTAAGATGGCTACAAATACTCATTCTGTACAGTTTGGCCCAGGGTGTTCCACATACAGTTTAAAATGCTGATGGTCCAGGCCCTTCCACGGCCTTCACGCTGTCTGTCAAGGACGGAATTGCCCCGTCGGTCTGGGCTGCTGCCCCCACCCTGCCAACACGCCCCTGGCACACTCGAGTTGTTTTCGGCTTTCATGGCACCTTAGCGCCCGGGAGGGTGTGCTCAGAGAGAGAGAGAGAGAGGGACATGAGCGAGCTGGCTGGGCTGCCCTGAGGCAGAGAGATGTTTGTAGATAAGTGCTGACCCCTCACTATAACCCCCAGTATATGGCTGTATTAACATGTAACCGATGCAGTGTATCTAAAGCCTTAGAACTAGTCAGGTGCTCCCCTCCAACTTTGTCCCTGCCCCTTTCCTCCTACCTGATCTTTAACAAAGCATTAATAATTCTAAGGATAATCTCTATTTTGTTGTGCTTTTTTTGTAACTGTTTTAAATAAATCAATTTGTACTGTATATTTGTACTTTGGTGAGATCCTTTTTCCTGTTTTACCATTTTAAGTCTGTACTTGCCTACAAACAGATTGTATTTTTATTGTTAATGCTTTTATGAATATTGCATTTAACTTGTTGACTCTGTAAACACAGTATATATCTATATACATATATATATATATCTATATATAAACCAATAGCTTTTCCTTTGGTGTTTGAGACTTTTTGCTTGTCTACAGTATCAGTGGTCATTAGCATGTGGCTTCTCTGGATTTACACAGTGATCTGGAGAGTCATGTCAAGGGCAAGATACAGAGTGACACATGGATTATAAGTCATAATTCTGGGTCTTCAGATACTTCTGTGTTATGTGGTCTCTCCTGACCCCCCTGGAATAAAGATAAGGTGTCAGTGACGCTACAGGGAAGGTTCCAACTGCAGGTTGCAGAGTAGAGGTTCATCTCTGCTGGGCAAGTAAAACATGAGGCAGAGCAAAAGCAGATACTGCCAGAAGCAAACTCGGGGTTTGAGTATGAAAACGAACACAAGTAAGGATAAAAGTGAGAGATCAGAGAACAAAGGAGGATATGAACAAAGGAACATGGAACTCAACAGCTCCTTTACAGTGCCTTTTCCCAAAGAGAGAGAAGCAGGGATGGCTCCTGGGTGTCAGTTCTACATGATGAATGAACATCATGTTAAAACAGCTTCTGTACAGGGAGGAAACTAGATGTTGCAGTGGCAGGAGGAGAAAACTTGCACTGAAAAGGTTCAATGCTGTTTCCTAGCAGCATCCCCAGGGCTGACTGTGAGAGTGGTTCATTATTGCCAGAAAAATGCAACATTATGCATTTTGAAGGTAACTATTTTAACTAGGGCTTTAAGGGACTGCAATCAAATGTTTTTCAAACTGAAAAATGATGAGGAAATGAGGGTTTTAAGTAGTCTGATAAAAAGATTTTGCTTCTTGTTTTAACTTTACTCTTCTGATCTCAAGTAGCAGTCTTGCAGTCACCATTTCTGACTTAAAGAGAAACAGCCATCAGCGAGAAGACAGTACTTCCCAAGGTGTTTGATCCACTGTATGACTCTAGACCCTAACTGGAAATGCTGTGGAGGTAATAGGGGTTTTCAGGCTACAAACACAGAAATGTGGCACACTGGCTTTTGGTGGGCTGATGTCTCAAAACCACAAAGCTAACACCACGGACTTTCAGGTGCTCATTCTTAAAGAAGCCAAATAATGGAGAGTGTACCACTTCTTTGCTTTGCCTTTTCCAATTTAAAGATGCCTAGATACCATTTCCATAGTTGCATCGTTTTAATAGTGGTTTCTATTAGTAACAGGAACCTTTTCCTGTAGGCACAGGCTACAATGACATTTTGCCTCCAGTATGTTTGTGTTGCTCCTTGCACTGGGGACTCCAGCACTGGACACAGGTCTTCAGATGTGGCCTCACCAGTGCTGAATAAAGGGAAAAGCACACCCATAAAGTCCTAGAAACTGACCTGCACTATTATTTACCATTCAATCAACTCTTTCACTTGCAAGCCTGAAATGCTGTTTAAGTGAAAATAACTTGTGAGTAAAGCAGCAAACTTGTTTGCTATTTGTTTACCTTGGCCAGCCTTTCTTTCACTGTTTTTACGAGTGAAAACTTTATTTCACTGTTTTTGTCTTAAAACAGGACCTCAGGTTCCTTAGTTTTTCCATGGATGACACTGCAAAATATGTAAATATGTAATAGCGATATTTTAAAAAAGGGTGTGCACAGGCATTTCCAGAAGGACATCCTCCTTTCTTTCCTTCTTACAGGCACAAATTGCAAAGGATTTAGTCCTGGAAGAGTTTGTGGATTATCTGTCTTCAGCTCTGTAATTCATGCTGCAGTAAACAAGACCCTTTTTTATTGAGGTGGAATACTGCAGAATTGCAGTAGCCTAGACCCATTTATGGGGCAAGGGCCCAAAACCATGACAAAGCACAAAGGGTAAAGAAGGGGACTAATACATGTGAACATTAATTAATGTTAATTAATACATTAATTTATTTTCGTTCTGTCACAGGCTGTGACTTGGCCCCCAGAGCAGACTGTATCCTCAGAATCTGCTCCCACCAGAGCTGCTTTGGCAGGCATCTCTCAGCTCTGTTCTCCTCCTGGGTTCAGAGGAAAACCAGAACCTGTCAGGGAGGGTCAGGCAGGGACCCCCAGCAGCCTCCTGGGCGCAGACGCCTGCTACTGCACACGTGGCAGGTGCAGCAAAGGCAGCACAGTTCTCGGCTGCGGTTTAGTGCAACACACTGTTGCTCTGCTCCTCAAAGGTCACTTTGCCCAGCAGCTGGCTCTCCAGCTCCACATTGCTCACTGGCAGCTGAAAGAAGTTCATCTCAGCTGCCAAAGCGGCCATGGCAGAGGGGTCCTGGCCGAACTGCGCCCGGAGCATCATATCCATTTTCTCCAGGCGCCGCTTGAGCCTCTTGGCTTCGCGCTCGCGGATGAGCCGGGCCTGTCGCTTCTCGGGGGTCTCGTTGGCGCGTTTCAGCCGCATGGCCTCCCGGTCCCTCTGCAGCCGCCGCGCCCGCTGCTCGTCCGTCTCCTGCATGCGCTGCAGCCGCTTGGCCTCCCGGTCCCGCATGCGCCTCACCTCGCGCTCCTCGGGCGTCTCGTTGTCCCGCCGGCTCTTCTTGGCCGTGCGCTCCCGCTCCAGGCGCTGCAGCCGCACCTCCAGGGGCTCGTTCTGGCGCCGCAGGGCCCACTTGCGCACGCCGGGGCTCTGCGCCTCGAGCAGCTTGCGGTACGCGGCGCAGTTGTTGCACACCAGCAGGATGCCCGCGGGATACACGGGGGCACAGAAGGCGACATCCTTCCCCTGAGCGCCGGAGGGGCCCTGGCTCTGCGGTGCCGGCAGCCGATTCGCACTGAGCACCTCTGGCAGCTTCTCACTGCAAAGCGGGAGGAACGGAGTCAGAGGCTTGGTGCTGTGGGCAGAGTCCCCGTGGGCTGCCATGAACGCTGCTCCCGCTACAGCCCGTGGCAGAGCCCTCTGCTAAATCACTGGCCCACAGATATGTCTGAGTATCTAAAATAAAGCATGGTCCCGGCCAGGGCAAGGAACTGGATTAGCCCAGAGCAGTATCTGGTTTGGAAGAGTATAAGAGTGGGAATAAACCAGCAAGCTGCTCCTCCCCATCATCTCTGAATTTCTTTCTAGCCCCACTCCACTGGTCAGTGGATAATCTCCCACTAGGCCGGACACAAAGAAAGAACATTTTGGTCTCTGCCCGTAGTCCTGCTCTGGAAATGATGAACCCATCTGGATAGTGCAGCCTTGCTCCAATGGACTGCTGGGCAAGGGAAGGGGTGGATTGTTCTCCAGTGACTGGAGCCCACAGCGCTTTCTCTAGCTCTGCACAGCGCTAAGAAAGACCCTTTTACCCGCACAGCCTGCATACCTCTTGGCAGGGGATGCAGAGCTGCAGACAGGAAGGGATCAAGAGAATCTCACTCACTGGGGGTGTTTAGCACTGTCCTACAGGCCTCAGTGGGTCCAGAGCCACAACTTCTGAGTCGTTCAAGGCAACCCACCTCATCTTTAATGTGCTACCTAGCCCACTCATTGGCCAGGGTGACCCTGACCTGTTGAAGGTGGCGTGGCTGGTGAAGCGTGCTCCACAAACTGCACAGTTGGACAGCTGGTCCTCTGAGTGGATCAGGAGATGTCTCCCAAGGGATCCTGGGGAGCTGAGGGCTCTGCCACACACAGGACACAGGTAGCTCTTGGCACTCACCACCGCTCCAGTGTGCTGCAAAACAACCACTCGGGTGGTAGTTACATATTTCCCAGCTCCCTGCCCAGTCCAAGGCATGCTCAAACCATTCTTGTTCAGCCTCTTGGAATGGGAACCCTTTACCACTAAACCTCTGTCTGCCAGCTTTTAGACAAAGCTCAAGACAAGTAATTCATTGTGTCACAGGTAAAACAAGGAGAAAAGCCCTTTATAGCTCAACTCCAGTGCAGGAGAAAAAATTAAGACCAAACTACTTGGACTGTAAGACCTGACCCTTGTTTTCAGGAATGCATTTGAGGGACTGCTGGTGCAAGACAAAGCATGACTCAATAAAAGCAAGGCTGGATGCTGGTAAAGAAGCACATACAGGGAGACAACTGGTACGGGTAAGTTCTGTTTCATTCCTTCTGCTACAGACTTTGATGTGCTATGAAGAAAGCACTGACAACAAAACCTAAGATTTCACCACAGATTTCTTGCAAAACTGGAATAATTTTGAGGAAGTACAGCTACTGTCATGGATAATTACAGGAACTGTAATGAAGTACAACATAAATGATCAGGAGGAAGGTTTTTTATCTCACTGAATGATATAAAAATTGCTTCCACGTTTAGTTTGAAGGAACTGCCTGGTTTTAGCCTGAAATACTTGCAGAGACTGCCTTGGCATAGAGTTATGTTTTCCAGATCTGTAGACCAGGGCCTTGCTAATTCTTTCCCCAAGACACCCTCTGGACACAGTTTACAGCTGTAAACTTCAGTCACATCCTAGCTAGAAACTCAGTTCTGTGGTTGCAAAGACCAGAACAAAGTTACCCTGTGCTTTGAGTTGTTTCTGGATTTTGAGGCTTCAGGCCAGAGACACTCCACAGTCGGAACTATCCCTACCTGGTAGACGTGTGCAATGAGTTGATCTCTGCTTCCACACTCGAGCTGGCAGAGGGGGCATTGTGACAGTCCCAGTATGGGCTCAGCGTTCCCACTCTCAGGCACCTACGGGCAGGAACAGCCGTTGCTGTAAGGCACACCGACCCCCGCAGGCACCCGCCCTTCCTCGGCTCCTCCCAGGCCTGCCGGGCCTGCCGCGGGTGCTGGACATCTCAAAGAAGCCTCCTTCATGTAGCCTCTGAGCAAAACCCCTGCATCTCACAGAGAGGGGGCAGAGGCCTCACGGCCTCACTTGCACCCAGGTTCTTGCTAGCACAGCGACTCTAAAAGGCAGGGCCTTTTCTGTGGCAAGGGGAAGCCAATCAGAAAATGGTACCGGAACCAAGGGAAGGGTTTGCACTCTGCAAACATCTTGGCCAGTTTGTGCCTGCTGTCTCCTGTTCCAGGCAGCCAAAAGGCTCTTCATACCCCTTCCTCCTGCCAGGAGACATTGTTTGGAGGAGGTGGGAGGGAGAGAAAGATAAAGAAACATGATGGGGAGAGGAAGTGTTCAGACAGTGCCCAGTACCCTTCTCTCTCCCTGGAGGCTATAGTGAGTGCAGAGCCAGGACACACTTGCCTCATTTTCTCTTATCAATGGGGTTCCAGCTACAGGTCGTTCTGCGTTTTCTAATTCCTTCTTCACTTTCACCATTGAGCCATCTTCCTCAGACGTATGGGAAGAAACTTCATCCTGAGTGGTTTCCTCATCATCGCTGCCACCTGAAACGTGCAGAACAGTTTTACCACGTGTCAGGACACTGACGGCACTCATAGGCTTTAACTGTCCTGACCAGCATCACAAGGAGCCTCTGCCCACTCCCTCCAACTACAGCTTCCATTTAAACTCAGTCTAGGGCACTTGAGTCCTGGGCACGGCATTTTCCACTGCCTTGCTCAACGACTGCCAGATCTTCAGGCAGAGCTGCTGCTGTCCCCACCTTGCTCTGGTGAAATGGCACTGGGTCCCATGGCATTGCCCGGTCTGTGCTGCGCTGGTCTGGTCCTTAGGACAAAGTCCTGCACTGGAGCAAAGGGCTAACCCAGAGGAGGAGCTGGGTAGGATGGTCCTCAGAGGACTCGGACACACTGTGCAGCCCTCAACCTCACCCCTTTCCAGTCTCCCCAGTCTACTACCTCAGTGTTACTGGAAGGGGAAGAACTCACTGCTGCTGGAGTCAGGGTCTTGGAGTGGACGAATTGTTGGCCTTTGGTCCCCAAGAGTTCCACGAAAGTTATTTTTCATCATGGCTTGGCGGGCTTGCTCCTCCAGCCCTGCAAAGACTTGCTCCCCTAGCAGCCACAAAGACAAAGAGTCAGACTGGTGCTGTTCCACTGCTTCCCACCACCAAGGCTTGCCAAAAATACAACAGGCATGGGGTTGCTCACCTGCACCGTGCAGAACCTCTGGAGTCACCTCTTGGAAAGCACTTAGGTCACTTCTCTGCTTGCCTACCCTGCCACACCAGCCTCTGGCACCTGCTGATGTGAGTCCAGTGCCTGGATGTAGAAGAGTCTCACTAGTGGCAATGTGCAGCACTGGGCTGCCCTCCGCATACTATGTGTATGCCACTCCAGCCACAAAATGCCTCTGACCCCATATATCTGCCATAAATAGCCAGGTGGCTCTTGCTGCTGCCAAGCTATCCACCAATATCCTACAGCACAGCTCAGGATGGGGGGAAGCCCCTGGGGACTGTGACAGTATCCCAGATCAGGGATAGTACTGTACAGCTCTTATAAATTATTAACTCTTATTCCTAGCTATAGCAGGCATTTTGCACAAAATTAGCACCTCCCTAAGTGCTGGTACCTCACCTGCCCTTCACAGTGTCACTTTCTTCTGTCGCAGGAGGGATGAGGACAAGCTGCCTTTACAGAAGGTATCTATGCTTGAAACTGGTGTTCTCCTGTGTGTATGATGAAAACTACCCTGCCTTGCCCAGGAATGGCTCTCACTAAAATAAATCTCATTGGCTCTTCATGTGCTCAAGGGAATGACCCCAGAGGGCTGAGATGCATGCTTAGGACAAAACAATTTGTTTAGTTGAAAACAGTGACCACTAGTACCTCAGCTCAATAGGACGTGGCAAATACCTTGAAATAAAGTATTTATTTGTACTCTGAATGAAAAGTTCTTACAGCAATCCCTGCTCAAAGAAATTTTGGTTCCAGAGAATAACAGTAAAAGGCAACTGTTAATTTTCATATTAAAGCAAACAAATTACATTGTTCCAGGTGTAGTCGTGATTTACCTTTTCCAGTGGATGAGCTGGGAGGCTTGGGAAAGGTGCTGAAGTTCCCAGCAGGCTGACTTTTGGGTTGCATTTATCAACAGATTTGAAAGTGCTCAAGAACCATTCAAAGCACAAATGTGAAAATGCCAAGGAAAATGCAGTGCATTTTTCACATAAAATCAAAACATAGCTTTCACAAGACAAAGTTACCTTTTAGTACAGGGCCACAGCTGGCACCACTATAAGCAGGAAATTGAACTCCCGAGAAAGAGCACCAGTCCTGTTACAAGGACAGGTACATTCCCACGTGCTGAACTGTTCCAGCCAGGGCTGCTCCCTGTTCCCACTCACACTGCCTTCCTTGGGGCTCACCTTGCAATTTTGCCAGGGCTTTAAAAAGCTGTGATTTATGGAAGATTTCAAAGACCTTCAGAAGTTTCACCGAGACCGTGGGAGAAGAATTTTAGTTCCCCATGTCCCCATGTAGGCTTCCGAAATAATTTAAAGGCTTTTATCATTCTCTTTCAGAAATGTGAGAAAGAGTGCTGTAGAGATTTGAGAGCACAATCCATGTGCCTGAGGAGAGGTGCTGAGGAGGGCCAAGTCTATTTGTCATTGAAAGCAGCAGGGACCATCATGACTGCTGTGACAGCCCTTCAGAAGCCATTCCAGCACTGAATGGTTTTCATGACCTGGAGTGCTGTTTTTATATCGGGACCATAGCCCCACATTGATGGGACTGAGATACAGACTGTACAAGCAGCAGACACCACAGAAATCCAGTACCTCTCCAAGAAGCAGAAACCCACAAACCACCAGGATAAAAGTCCATAGACCAAAAAAGCATTGCAAGAGAAAGAGAAAGCATGATGAAATGAGGAAACCTGCAGAACACAGGACAGATATAAAACCACAATGGGAGATGTGCTGCTGCCTTTGACAGAGTTCCAAAACAGAATTCCCAAATGCCACAGGCTGCTCGTGGAAGCAATTACTTGTTTGTTTTCTTCCCCCTATTCCCTTTCAGACAGATTACACTCCCACTGAGCAGCAGCCTGGAGTCCTAAGGCAGGGCAGGTTCCTGCTCAGCTATACAAACCATGCAGACAGTCTGCAGGATTTAAGAGCTGGGATCTTTATCTGAGGTGACAGAAGAAGGAACTCCTCACATAAGGAACACTGGTATCAGTCAGTTACTGAGCAACTGTATGTGCCTCCAGCCTCTGTGCAACACCCCCCGAGCCCAGTGAGCATTGACTTGGCACAGTGCAGAGAACAACCAGCTTACAGCCAGCAATGCAAGCTGTTAACCAAACCCGTGCTGTTAGCAGGCCACGTCCTGTGCATCCTCCCCAGCCTCTACCTAAAAACATCACGGGACTGGGAAAGGCAAACATGGAAAAATACTGTCTTCCCCTTGTACAAAATTTCTAATGTATTATAGTAATAGCGTACAAAAGAACTTAGGAAAGAGTGTCCTGTTAATCTACTGACAGACTAAGTCCTCCTTGGATAAAACTTTACAACTTTAATGTTGGATAGGTCCAGGGTTAAACTTTTGATGTTTCTGCACACACATGCTCGTAAACAGACACACCCCCACCTCCACCCCACTTTGGATACGCTTCCATTCACCTGGAAGAGGAGTTGGACAGGCAACAGCTTTAGGATCACTGCCATAAGTAAAGGACGTTATGCTCAACAGTGAATTCACAGACTCTTCTCCAGAAGTTTCTTTATTAAATACAAACAGGGCTGCAGGCTGACCACAACACCAAAACAAGTCACTGTAGTTGTTTACAAACAGCTAGAGATGTAAGACAAGAGAGATGACACAAATGCCTCTGCTTTGTATTCCATTCTCCTCTCCATACTGCTGGGAATGAGAGGGATGCCAAGTCAGCAGTGGTGGAAATAGGGGACAGCCCTGTGGTACTGTGTAACATGGGCAGGGCATGACTGCTAGGGTACCAGCCCTGAGCCCTTCCCTTCTTGAACTGTATAAATGCAGGATAACTCTCAGGTGTTCTGGAAAATAAACACATAAACAAACAACTCCCACCCCAAAATCCACAAAACAAAATGCAAAGGGACTACATCATTCTCCTGCCTTCCTTCCTAAACAGAACGGTCTCTCACAGATGAGTCAGTTCATTCCCTCCTTGTACATAAATTTAAAGTCCCTGTTCATGTAGGTCTTCTCTGTGTTCCTGGACCTGAAATTTGCAAGTCTTTCCACCACTGTGGATCTATTCCACCTGCCCCATGGCTATTCTGGGTTGTCCACACTGCTGTAGTGGTTACTGAAATGAAAAACAACACAATTGAAACAGTTAACAATGGCAGTCCACGGAGCCCTTCAGAATCAAGGGATTTGAGGCACGTAACATTTCTGCTCAGTTGTGAATGCTGGGTTCTATTTCTTGCAAGGTACTTTCCCTTCAAAATGGGACTATTATAGACAGGAGAATCCAAGGAACACCAAAGAGCACAGAACATGTGTGTGTTAGAGAGAGAGGGAAGGAAATAGAGGATTAATGGGATATTGGAGCCATGATAAATAGAGCTCAGAAGCAGGAATTAATCTGACTAACAAAAGCTCTTATCCAGAGTTCTAAAATCATCTAAGCATCAGCTGCAGAGGACACAGGCAATAGAAAGCAAAGCAGCTTGTGGACAGCAGGGAGAGAGAAGTGCATGCTAATACCTGCAACAAATTTTGGCAAGCACGAAGACAGCAAGTAGTCCATGACTGGTGGGGTGACAGCACAGTAACAGATGAATGCAAGAACAGATGAATTGCTTAGAGTTTTTATACTTTTATACTGCATACTCTGGGAGAAAATAAAAGACCAAATTGAAACAAATGACCAAATTAAGGTATCTCCCCACAAGCAATCTAACTGCACTTTATTTTTTAACAAGCATATTCCACTATTACTGCTCAGTTTGTTAGCACTTTGTAAGGTATGTTTTTCATGCACCACATGGCAAAATAAAATTATATTCTTAAGAGCCATTTATGTGCTGCAGGGGCAATGACTAAATTAAAATTGTGGGACTGGCCACCATGCACAGAAAGACTTTTGTGATAAATTTTACCATAATTTTTATCATTGTTTCAGTATTATTTTGACTTTTCTTACATATCAACTTCTATTTAAAACTGTTTTGATTTGTAACCATACAATCTCCTAGTTGGTTTGCTCTGCTTGCCAAGCAAAATGATTGTGTCCTAAGTGAGGACAGAAAACCATGGTGTTGTGAGAGCAAGGTGAAATGAGGGCCATGCCAAGCCTGCAAAGTAATCCTGGAAAGAGGAGACACCAAGCAAGCCAACGAGAGGAAATCAGCAGCTGTCACTCGCCCTAATCAGTCCAAGAAGGAAGAGAAGATGGAGTGGCCATGCAAGGAAGAAGTAGGCACCATCCTCCCATCAAATTTGTCCAGTCATATATGCACAGTCGTACTTATGCAAATCCAAAAGGCAGGCCCCCAGCCCCGTAGCCTGCCAAATCAGACCCCAGCTGCAGGCAACTGCGTAAAAAGCTGCATACCTGCTGTCCCTTTCATTCCTCTCCTCCCAACCACTGCAGGCCCTGTGAAGAAGTCCCAGTAACGTGTCTGCTATGTCTCAGCCTGACTCCTCATTCTGCTGGCTCACCCCGTTCTTGGAGCCGGTGTTTTCTCCGATTATCCTCTTCAAGGCACTGCACGGCATTTCTGGGCCCTCCCGACACACAGCAGGCTAGGCAGACAGAGAAGTCCCAACGATTTCGTGGTGTTCATCATAAGACAGATAAGATTTTCCATCCCAAGGTGAAGACATCACCATTGACAAGTTTCTGGTATCTCTTGGTCCCCTTATTTTCTTGTGGTCCTACTTGCTGCTCTCGATGGCTCCTGATGAACAGTTGCTCTGTAGCAACGTACTGCATGTAAAGGAGATGAACAGGTCCCAGAACTCCACTCCATGGCACACCTGATGCTATAACCTCCTGCCCCCTGGCAGCGTGTTTGTCAGACAGCTTCCTCCAAAACCAGGACTGGAGACACAACCATTTGTATTGCAGATAAAAAAAGCAATATTCACTGTGAAAACAGTGCACCACTGAATTTTGTGATACGTAGAGTCTGGTATATGATAGTACAAGCTTCTGAAGAACACAGCCCTTATGCAGTGAAGTGCAGAAAAGTACCCAGCTAAACACCATGGAAACTCTATCTGCACAATTAGAGCTGCTGTAGTGCTTGGTTTCCATACTCAAGAAATCCCAACTCTGGACCAAGGAAGATAGCTTAACTGCATACATGACATAAACCTGAGCTCAATAACAGCAGTAATACCTGGGCACTCTAAGAAGCAGAAGTGTGTGGACACAAGGCATGTTACTGGCATCACAGGATAAAATACCAGACATATCAAATTTCTCTAAGAACAACTCCAAAGTCATTAATGTGCTATCAGACAAATTAAATCTATACTCTGCCCACAGTGGAACCCAACAACCAGAAGCAGGAATCAGAGAGCACAAGGCAATGCAGGTGCCACAAGCCCCACTCCTTGAGAACCTCGCTCTGGCCAGCAAGGACAGCTCGGCTGGCTCTGCCAAGCTGCCCAGCCAGCGGGGCTGCGAGTCCCAGGCAGAGACAGCTCTTCCCAGTGCACTCACCGAGTGTGCAAGGTGTCAGCTCCAGCCCAGGTTCCCCTTGCACTGAGAGCAGCATGCACAGATGCCTGTTGTGTGCACAGAGGCAGCACACATACACACAGACATGCAAGCCAGCAGCACCAGCAATGAGGCAGTGTTAGGGCTGCAGCACTCAGCTCTGTCTCACACTCCTGACAGCTACTGCGGCCAAAAACACACAGGGCCCTCTCAGCAGCCTTGCTCTCACAGATCTACAGAAATGGAAACTTGTTTTCCTAATTCCAGCCCAAATTCCAAGCATGTTTCCAGCCACAAACCTGAGTATGAACAAGGGCATAATTTCAGGCCCCTCAAATTCCCTCTGCTGCCAAACAAAAGCTGTACATGTGCAGTTTCCCCTCTGCAGCCAAACCCCCATCTCTGCCTCCCAGCTCCACTGGTGCCTGGCTGTAGGCTGCCCATGAGAAGTGCTGATGCACAGCATCTTCAACCCTTTCACTGTCAAACAAATGCTTAGGCCTTGGCAACGATGGAGAAACAGAGATCCATCTTACCCACCTCAGCTCAAGAATGATCTGGCAGACAGCAGTTATTTGCCCTGTAATTTACTTGGCCACCACCCATTCCTTGACAGGAAAGAGCAAATGTCTTTATTTCATCATCTGGTAGAAACTGAGGTACAGGGAGCTTAAGTAACATGCCCAAGGCCAGCCAGTTGAGTCTGTGGTAGGATGAAGATCAAAACCCAGGACTTGCTGACTTTTAGCCAGCATGCTCCAACCACCTTGCCTAGAACTTCCTTTGCTAGCAAGACGCCAGAGCCTCAAGCCACATTTTCTAGTGTTCTAACTTGTACTTTTGACAGTGTGAATGCAAAGGCCAGCTACAGGCCCTGCATATACAAACCTACACTCACAGCATTAGCTGTTCAAGCCTACCCCTGTCCTACTATGCCAGGACACAGCCAGCTTCCCTGATGCACAGAGCTCAGTTTCTCTTCTTTTGTACCCTAAGATAAAAGATGAGTAACCACCATTCCCCACAAGCTATCTCTTCCCATCACTCCCATCATTCCACTCCTCCCCACCTCACTCCAGAACCCAGCCAGAGCAAGGGTCCCACAATGCTGCATAACATCATACTCACAGTGAACTTTGTTAGGAGTGGTCTGTTTCCGACGGGACATGTTTCCCTGACCTGGGGGCAGAGAGTGTTCCTTCCCTCTGCAGAGGGCTCATCTGAGAAGAGAAGAGTCTGTCACACACTTCACTGAAACCCTCCAAGTCCCTGGCCAAGCTCTGCTGGCTGTCCCAGGGTCATTCCCCACCCTTCTGCCTATGCAGCTCATTCATCCACCACAGCTGGATTCCTGGCCAGCATGCAACACAACCCACAAGCATGTCACAAAGCATTCTACATGGGCAGTCCTACCCAGTTCTCAGGTAAACATTTAAACAATCCTGACCCCCTCAAAAAATGAGTGTCCCCTTCAAAAATTACTGCAACCTCAGTCCAAACACCTTCTCTCTCCTGCTTATTCCTGCAGTCTAGTATTCATCCTTGTCGTTGAACTGACAGAGGAAGGGGGCATTTCCAACAGTCCTCTCAGACAGACAGACAAAAGGAGGAGCTGAACCCATTTCCCACAAGACACATGGACACAGAGATCCCGTCAGCCTCCTCAGAGGGACAAATACACAGATTTCATCAGCCTCTTGCTGACAGAGAAACATGGACACCAGACAGACGGACAAAAGGATCCTGTCAGCCTCGCACTGCCAGACAGACACAGGCATCGCATCAGCCTTCTCAGACAGACGGACACGAAGATCTCGGACACCTCCCCATACAGCGGAATCCATCCGGCAGTCCCAGCGCACGGGAGGCGGCAGGAAGGACCAGGCCCGCAAGCGGCCAGACATACAGACAAAGGGATGCGGCTCTTCTAGCATCAGAACGGACGCGGGAACCCTGCCCAGGCCCCCGACGCCCCGACCGGGCAGCCCTGACAAACCGACCGGCACTGGCAGCGGAGGTCCCGCCGCGGGGCCCGTTTCACTCCTCGCGGGCGGCAACCCCAGCCCGGCCCGGCTTACCCGGTGCCGCCGCAGGCGCCGGGAGCCGCAGACAGACAAAGGGCAGCGGACAGACAGACGGGCAAGATGGCGGAGGGCAACGCCGGGCTGCGCGAGCACGGGCACGGGGGCCACGGCAGGCACCGGGAGGGCACAGCTCGCCCGCAGAGCTCAGAGGCCGGCTTTTCGTTACCTGAAGCGTCTCACCTGTTTGCCATGGATCCGGCCCAGCGCGTGACTCCCGACCACCCGAGGGAGCTCATCCGTGCCTGCGACAGGGCTCGCTTGCCCCGGCCGTCTCCGCCGGCAGCTTAACGGGAGCCCTCGTGCCACCCCGGCTCGCCAGAATCTCGCGTACCCTGCAAGGCCAAAACGCAGGGTGTAGTACTATCTCAGACCCACCGCGCGCGTTACGAGCTCGCGCACCTGCTGAGGAGAACCGCCCCGCCCCAGGGGCTCGGGGCCGCCTCCCCGCACGGGCCACTGAGCGCCGCCGCGGGAGCAGCGGGCCCGCTCGGAATGCCCGCTAGGCCCGCTTACCCGGGAGCTGCGGCTCCGGTCCCAGGCCCGGCCTGGACTTCGGTCCGACTCTCCTCCGCGGTGGCGCCAGCGCCGTGCGACCCTCAGAGAGCCGAGGACCCCGCGGTCAGGTCACAGCAGCCGGCGGAACGCCGCGTTGCCGGAACCGCCGCGCCGGGGGCGGGCACCGGCGGGCGCCTATCAGGCGTGGCACCGGTTGGACGCGAGCAGGATCCCTCCGCCGGACCATGTAGTCCCTCTGCGCCGCTCTCCCAGACTGTGCCACTCTCTCCCCGGCCGCCGGTGCGCCAGGGCCGCATTTGCGGAAGCGAATCGGGACAGCGCCCGCCGCGCCAGCTCGACTGTGTCCCGGACTGCGTGTAGGCTGTGCCGGAGACTGGGTACGGAGAGTGCCGGCTACGAGGATCACTCCGCACGCGATGAAGGCTTGCGGAAGCCGCGCGCCATTTTGGGTGGCAGAGCTGCGGAGCTGCGGTGGTGAGTCGGGCCGCGGGACGCGGGACGCGTGAGCGGGGCCGCGGGGAGCATTCGGCATCCGAGAAGCTGACGGGGAGCCTTGCCTCAGGGTCTCCCGCAGCCCTGGGACTCGCCCCGGGACCTGCTCCGCTCGTGGTGTGGGATGTTTTCTCGCTGCTACCTAGCTGGGGAGGGAGAGGGATTTCTCCCCTCAGCCCTCAGGTGCAGCTGCGCCGGTGGAGCTCATGAGGGCCTCCTGCGCACTGTCCGAACTGTCCCTGGGCATTAGGCCAGACGCGGCGAGTCTCGCCGAGCGGTTGGAGTGGCTGGCGGCCGTCCCGGCAGCCGGATCAGGTCATGGCTCGCTCCGCTCTGGGCGGTGGAGCCGCCGGCAGAGAGGGATGGGGAGGTGAGATGCAAACAGAGGTCTTTCTATGTGCTGTCTTTTAAGGAAGCTTTTCCTTGATGAACGGTTTTTGACAGACAGAATGCTATAATTAAATAATGCTAGGATTTGCTTTCTGTAGGGTTAAGAAGTTGAACTGGTTCCTGGGAGACTAAGCATGTGTTCAGTAGGCAGGAACAGTGTGGGGAAGGTGAAACGCAACTTTTTTCTTCTGATGATAACATCAGAACAACCTTAGTTTCTAATAGTCCTCTAGTTAATTATATAGCTGGTTTATAACTTGTATTTCGATAGGACAGAGGTGGGCTTGGCTCTTCAGTTGACTTTTTCGTTTTTAAAAAAATGTCCAATAAGTTTCCTTGAAGTTCTAAGGCAGTCCTATTGGTCTTGGTGAGGTGCAGGGTTATGAAGTGGGAAAGGCAGTAATAAGCACTCGAGGTTCAGTTACTTATAAATAACTAGATTCAGCATTGGCAGACCAGGGCTTGCTTGTTTGGGGCATTTCTTGGCCTCCCCCGCAGTAAAAGTCAGACAGACACTGACTGGCAGTTGTTGGTTCCAGTGGCCATCCCTCTTCTCCACAGAAAGTGTTTATCATGTTGGGCTCTGGGTTCAAGGCAGAGCGCTTGCGAGTCAACCTGCGCCTTGTCATCAACCGCCTCAAGCTACTGGAGAAAAAAAAGAGTGAGTATTAAGGGGGCAGGTGTATTAAGTATTAAGAGTGAGTATTGGGGGGAGTATTAAGGGACCCAGGATGCTTTTGGGGCTCAGGAGACTTGAGAAGGTATTTCTGGAGTTGGGAGTACTTTCATGGGCCAAATATGGAGTAGCTTTTTGCTCTTCCTTGCTGGACCCAGGCCTTAACAGCCTGCCCTGGTGCACAAGGAAATGGAAGAGCAGGCCGGCCACAGTGTGGCCTCTGTCCACCTTTCTGGCAGCTGTTGGAGTGCAATTTGTGGGGTGGTAGCTAACAGCTAATATTTGTGGGCTGTGTGTGCTAAGAGCACAGTGGAGAACTCCCGGGGTGCTGTGGGAGATCCTCCCCACCTGCCCTGCCCTGACACAGGTCAGGCCTGTGATCCTGGTTAACTGTGTAGGGAGGTTGTAGGTACAGGAGGGTTTCCAGCAGCCTGAAGTCCACTTTCCCTACTCCCACGAGTTAAATGTGCTGGGAGCTGGACACGAGGGCTCTGCCGAGCCATGCCCGAGCATCTCGTGTGCAGGGGTTAGATAGGGGAGAGAAGCTGGTGGTGGCTCTGTGTGTAATGGGGACTTGTGGGGGGTCTGGAGGCAGCAGCCTAGGCCAGCACAGTGACCAGGCTTGGGATGTGTGCTGCAGCTGAGTTGGCCCAGAAAGCAAGGAAGGAGATTGCAGATTACCTGGCAGCTGGAAAAGATGAGCGTGCCAGGATTCGTGTGGAGCACATCATCCGTGAAGATTACCTCGTGGAGGCCATGGAGATCCTGGAGCTGTACTGTGATCTGCTGCTCGCCCGCTTTGGCTTGATCCAGTCCATGAAGTAAGCTCTGGCTGGGAGGGTCCTGGACTCAGGAAGGGGCACTGCTGAGGGCAGGGCTGGGATACAGAAGGGCACCCGTGTTTGTCTCTCCAGAGACCTTTTCTTCCCCATGTACAGGAGGCTGTGGAGCCCAGTGCATGAGATGGGAACTTAAAGGCTAAGGAGATTGAGGGCAGCAAAGGCTGGGTGCATGGGGTGGAGAGAGAATTGTTTTCTTTGGTTGTAGGGAGCTGGATTCTGGCCTGGCAGAGGCAGTATCGACACTGATTTGGGCTGCACCACGCCTCCAGTCAGAAGTGGCCGAGTTGAAGATTGTGAGTAGGGTTGCTTGAGGGATGCTGCCCATGCAGGGTGGGGGTGTGGGGGTGATGCTGCCTGATGCTGATGGAAGCCCTTGTCTGGGACTTTATATCAGAGGATTTCATGGGCTCTGCAGATGGAAATGAGATGTCCTTGCAGCATCTGGGGTGGCTGCAGCTGCTGAACTGGAGTGCTCAGTGGGAAAAATGAGGGAGGGAGCTGAGTGGATGTGAGGTTTGAGGTGGGAGAAAGCAGGACTGTGCACCTTCTAGAGTTTCTCTCCTGCTGCAGGTTGCTGATCAGCTGTGTGCCAAGTACAGCAAGGAGTATGGGAAGCTGTGCCGGACAAACCAGATTGGGACAGTCAACGACAGGGTAAGGAACTGGTAGAACAGGCAGAGCTGGCAGAGCAGCCACGCCTGCCGAGGCTTGCTGCCCCTTGGGCCTGTGGCTGGTGCCTGATGCTTGCCATCACTCTGGAGCACAGCAGGTGCTGTGCAGCCAGGGCCCACCTGCATTGGAGCACGGTGCTGAGGCCCCAGGCAGGGAGGCCCTGCTCTACTGGTTGCGGATGGGGAAGGGTAGAGTGAATAGAGCCCTGGCTTATGGCTGCCTGCAGCATGTTGTACTGGGTTCAGGGGCCTCCCCACAGCTGCCCGCTGCACCTCCCTGGCTGGGATGGCACTGGTACAGAGCTGTTGGGTGCTGCATTGCCCTGGCTCTACTAAGCCTCTCCACCCTTGTGTTCCAGCTGATGCACAAGCTGAGTGTGGAAGCACCACCCAAGATCCTGGTGGAGAGATACCTCATTGAGATTGCAAAGAACTACAATGTGCCATATGAGCCTGACTCAGTGGTGATGGTGAGTCAGCGTCTGGATGTGGCATTGCAGAGAACTGGGTAGTCCTTGTGCTTTGGTGTCCTCTAGACAGCCCTAGCATAGCATGATCCTTCTTCTTTCATGCACTCCTGTGGCATGTGGCAGTAGTTACACATGCTACAGCCTGGTTTGCATTCTGTTTCCCATTAATACTGCTGTATAGCTGCTCTCTGTTCTGTTGTGTATTCCCATCTTGTCCATTGACAAATGCTTCATCTAATGTGTACAGAGGGCAGTGATCATAAGAGATGTGTTGGTGAACAGAATTCTTCCGCCCTTTCCAGGCTGAAGCCCCGCCAGGTGGAGAGGCAGATCTAATTGATGTGGGCTTCACGGATGATGTGAAGAAGGGTGGCCATGGAGGGGGCGGAGGTGGTGGATTTACAGCCCCAATGATAGGTCATGATGGGTTGGTACCCATGCCCGTGATGATGCCTATGCCCATGCCAACAACAAATCCACCCTTCTCTTACCCACCTCCTAAGGGACCGGTAAGTTCCTGGGCTTTTTCTGTGAAACACTCCTATTGTGGTGCTTAGCCCTGTGCCTGCTGACTGTACCTGTTAGCTCAGTGTGTCAGAAGGCCATCTTCTCAGTGTGATTCTGCATGGGACGGAGGCTGTTGGCAGTACAGCTGAAGCTTAATCTTGGATCTTGACTGTGGAGGTTCCTACCCCTGTTCTGCAGCCAGCCCTCTTTGCCTTCAGGGATCAGAGGAGTCCAGACTTAACTCCTGAGGCAGTCTTCTGACTGCCTGGCTTTTGTCCAGGAGTTGGAGCTGCACTTTGAAGTTGGTAGGCTGGTAGTGTGCCAGGATTCAGTCAAGGAAATCAGGTGAGTGTTGTGGGGTGGGAATAGCACAGAAAAATGCGGAAGTGCCCTGCCTTCAGACCTGCAAGGGGAGAAGACTGAGCCAATGGCTCTTGTAGAGGGTTTGTTGTAAGGGTGGAAGGTGGGAGCTGAAAAGAACTCCTCTGTTCTCTGAATTAAGTAATTCACAGGATATCTGTGTAGACTGGAGAGCAGAATAGTGGGATGGCTTTTAGTCTTAATATGGTCCCAGTAGTGCTGAAGTACTTTTTGTGGAAAATCAGGGCTAAGTATCATCACCTGGCTGTTGGCCCAAGCATAAACATGCTGAGGGCCTGTGCCAGGTCTGGGTCCTTGAGGTGCTGTTGTGTGACAAATGAGGGCAACTCAAAGCCTTGTGTGAGCCAGAAACCTCTTTCCTATTCTGCAGTACCGCACACAGGGCCAGAAATGGCAGAGTATTTCCTTTATTGGCCTGGTGCTTCTTGTGCCTTGAAAGATGAAATGTTTACCTGTGCTGGTTCTTCTAACCCACAGTCCAGTTAGCTGGGTCTGCCTGCTCCAGGTGACTACATCTGTCTTAATACTTTAGAATCCCTTCCTTGTAAGCATAAACTCTTACCCACTTGAATATGTGCCTGCATTTATCTAAGACTCTACTTCCTGTGACTCCCATGGCAGCTGTAGGTGTGTGGTGTCTCAGATGAGTGGTGTGCTGCATGACTGATCTCTCTGTACAGGAGAACTTCAGTGGCCTGCCAGTGGGGACCTACCAGCCTTTCAGTAACATCCACCCACCACCAATTCCGGCAAACCCACCCACATACGAGTCCGTAAGTGCCTGAGATGAATGGCTGTTGCAGGCAGCAGAGGGGTCCTCAGAGTGCAGTGGTAGCCACAGAGAAGGGAAATGTTTGTAAAGTATACTAAGCTAAGCTTTCGGGCTTTTGGGGTGGTGCTGGCGTTGCTTGCTACTGTCGTGAATCAGGGAATGCACATGATGGAAGGATGACTTGTGGAGAGAAGTTCCTTGTTCAGCTCTGTGCTTTGGCTGCAAAGGAAACCCAAGATTTCTCTTGCTGGATTGTTAAAGTGGTGTTAAACAGTTAATAAGCAGAATCCACAAGTTCTGTTTTTTGCAGTGTGAAAAGTTTATCACTTTGAGTCTATTTAATTATGGCTTTTGAACTAATTAACGGCCTGGATGACAATTTTGACTGACGCAGATGCTGTATGTTTAGAGACTCTTCCTTTCACAGACTTTCCTCAGTCCTTGGGGACAACAAAGCAGAGGCTGGAGACTTCCCTTTCTACGCTTGTCTCTGGTTTTGTTGCTGCAGTTTGTCATCATGCCTGCCACTCTGTTTTTGGTGACATGCTGTTGTTTTTGCATTATCCTGAGTAGGGAGGAGCACAGTTGAGCGTTGTGGTGCTGACACTTTTGTGTTCTTATAGGTGCAGCAGTGCAGGTGAATTGGGTAGGAATGGGTGTTGAGGGCTGCAGCATGCAGGGAATAAGAAGCTTTACTAGCACAGCTGTGTGTGCCATGAGCCTTTTTCCCAGACAGACTGAGACCCTGCTGCTAGTCACAAGGGCCTGTGAGTGGTTTATGGAGAAAGGCAGCAAGGAGCTGTGATGACGTGGATGAAGAGGGTGGTGTTTTCTCACTGGTGGCCTTGATAAATATTTCAGACCTGATAGTGGATACACTCGATTGATCCAGTTCAGAATATGGTCAGTGAAGCTACTTTAGTTGACAAGGAGGGAGAGAGAAGCTGAAGAGCTGCCTCTGTTTTGTGGTAGAGAGGCACATTGTTGTAAAGCCACGGCTGCCTGCTAGGGGTGGGGAGGAGTGTGCACTGATCTGCCGGAGCTGTGCCTCTGAGCTCCACTTGTGTGCTGGTGTGACCATGCCTGGTGCACAGAGCTGTAGTAACTGAGAGTCTTTTTCAGATTGATGAGCCTAACGCTGACAAGGATGCTGCTGCACTTGTGCCTGGTGAGTATGTTGAGGTTTGGAAAAGCTTGGGTATTAGGGGCTGTTCTGAAAAACCCTCTGGTACTGCCTGTTGCTGGAATGACTGTTCTTTGTGGGGCTCTGTTTGGCCCGGTGAGTGTATGCTGATGGTGAGGTGCAGTGATACTTCTCTTATCAACAGGGCCTGAGCCCAAGCCAGAAGCTTCTCCTAAACCAAGAGCTGGAGCTCCTAATAGCTTTGATAACTTTGTACTGCCTGAATTGCCATCTGTGCCAGACACACTGCCAACAGCATCTGCTGGCGCCAACTCTTCTGCCTCAGAAGACATTGACTTCGATGATCTTTCACGGAGATTTGAGGAGCTGAAGAAGAAAACGTAAAACTTCCTGGGCTGCAGGAAGCAGGAGAAGAAGATGTGTGATATCTCCTCTCTGAAACAGACTCTCTTTGAAATTGGTTTCCTGTATTAACCTCCAATGAACGTGCTCTTCTTTTTGAGCTCTCTTCCTGCTGTACTTACACCAAGTGCTGCCGCTTTCCTGATCTTTGCTGCTCCAGGAGATGAACTGTGGGGAATGTTGTGAGAGTGAGGCAAGGAAGAACCCCTGTCAGTCTGGGTAGCTGTATGGGGAAGCTGTGCGTGGTGTTCTGGGCCTCCATGATGGCTCCATGCCTGCCAGCAGAGGTTTTCTCTTGGGGAGCCCTCATTGGCCTTGATGGTGTTCTCGGTGGAGTCCATTTGCAGTTTGCAGAAGGGTAACAGTGTCTGCCTGGGCCTGTTGGGTATGTGACTAGCCCCCCGAGAGGGCAGAGCTAGACAGGCTGTGCCGCTGCCTCGGGGTTTTGATGCAGGTGCTGAGCAGCTATGGCCCGTTGAGGTCTGGAGGCGAGACACAGAGGGGGTCTGATGGGATACGCAGCAGCACCTTGTTTACCCTACCCGAGTCGCGGTGGAGGCATCCCGGGACTGTAAGGTATCTGTTGTGACACTCTGCAGCCGTGCTGTGGCTGCCGCTGTCCGTGCCCCGTTCCGTCCCTGCCCGCTTCCCGGGGCTCGCCCTCTGCCCCTCCTTCAATAAAGCGCGGGCCGGGCCTCTCGTCGCCGCCTCTGTTGCGCCGCTATTGGCTGGAGCGGTACTGCCTCGGCCAATCACAGAGGGGGTCCCCGGAAGTGTCCTCGCGTGTCGGGCTGAGCGTGATGGCGGCGCCGCTGCGCGTGAGCGGCCGGGGCCCTGTGGGGAGCCGGGGCCGGCCTGGCGGGGCCGCCCATGGGCGCCGGGGCACCGCTGGCCTTGGCCGGTGGCGGCTGGAGCGGGCAGTGCCGGGGCGGGACGGAAAGGGACGGGTGGTGCGGGATCGGGGTGGGGAAGGGAGGGGATGGGCCGAGTGCGGTTGCGGCGGGGAGCCGCGGTTGGTGCGCTGCTAACGCCCTGGCACAGGGACGGCTGCGGGCGCTGGCGCTGGGAGGCTGCGGGCTGCTCCTGGGATCGGCGCTGGCGGCAGGGGACGAGCGGCTGTACGCGGCGGTGATGCCCGCGCTCCGGGCGCTGCCTCCCGAGGCCGCCCATGGCCTGGCTCTGCGCGCCGCCGCCCTCGGGCTGCTGCCCTCCACCCGTCCCGACAGCCCCGCGCTGGTGCGTTCGAGGGCGGCGGAGGAGCAGGGGGGAACCGCGCGGGGAGCGGGGTGGGGAGTGGGACGGTCGGAAGGGCGCTCAGAACCGAGGGCTAAGGCTGGGTGGCAGAGCCCGGCGTGGCGCGCAGGTGGCTGCGTCCCGTCGGGTCCCTGGCGGGCGACGAGGCACCCTCGGCAGGCACCCCGTAAGGACACCGCGAAGGGCAGGGCAGGCGGCCGGCTCTGTCGGGAGGGGGGCTGGAGTGAGGCCTTGGCAACGGCTCCTGGAGTCTGTGGGCTCTGCCCCAACCCCGCAGGAGGTGCGAGTCTTCGGGCAGCGATTCCGCAACCCACTGGGCCTGGCTGCTGGCTTCGACAAGCAGTGTGAGGCTGTGGACGGGCTGTACAAGATGGGCTTTGGCTTTGTGGAAGTGGGGACTGTCACGCCCAAGCCCCAGGAAGGGAACCCGAAGCCCAGGGTCTTCCGGCTGGCAGAGGACGAGGCAGTCATCAACAGGTGGGATCTGAGGGCAGCCGCTCTGCAATGTCCTACAGTCTGCCCTCCGTGAGGGAGGGTGAATATTTGGGTGGCCCCACGTCTTTGGAGGTGTGGTGGCTTTTGGTTGGATGTGCTGAGCAAAGCTGCAGAGACCACACATCTGCCTCATGTTTCTCACATGTCCTGTTCAGGGCCTGCAGACATAACCCAGCCTTGAACCGCCTCTGTCCTGGTGCAGGTATGGATTCAACAGCCATGGTCACGTCGTGGTGGAGCGCAGGCTGCGAGCCCGCCAGGAGACACAGATCAGGCTCACTGCTGGTGAGACAAGCTTGTAAGCCTTTGCTCTTGGTGTCTGCAGGGTAGGTTTGGGCATCTCCCAGGTACCTGTAGGCCAGGATTGGTGTGTAATGCCAGTATCCAGGCACGGGAGCACCTTGGCTGGAGGAAGACTTGGACAGCTCTTGGGGCTATAGTCTCACCCCTGGCATTGTGACTAGACACATTTCTCCTGCTGTTTTCTCTGGGATCAAGCTCCACTTGCTGCTTTGGGGAGGATGTGTCTGCTAACATAGCCAAAGCCAAGAGGACCCCAGCAGAACAGGCCCTGTGGGCAGCCTCTGCCAGGCTGAAGGCTGTAGTGCTGGGAGGTGCTGACTGGGGTGGCTGTGGCAATGCTCCTGTGGTTGCAGGACAGTCCCAGGCCCATCCTCATGGAATACATGGGAGATATATATATATATATATATATATATATATATATATATATATATATCCTCACCTTAACTTTAGCTGGTCCTGGGATGTCCTTTTTTGGGTGCTGTGGTTGGTCCTGCTGCCCTGGTTCAGCTGTGTCTGGGTTGCAGCTGGGATGCCTCTTGGAGTCAACCTGGGCAAGAACAAGAGCTCTACTGATGCTGCAGCTGACTATGTGGCTGGGGTCCGGACACTGGGCCCTTTGGCTGACTACCTCGTTGTGAACGTGTCCAGCCCCAACACCCCAGGGCTGCGGGACCTGCAGGGCAAGGCTGAGCTGCGGGACCTGCTGAGCAAGGTAGATGCCTCCCCCCCAGCCAGCCCAAGCACAGCTAGAGCGCTGGATGCACCCCATTCTCCTGGCAGTAGCTGCACTGCTGCAGCCAGTGGATTTACCCGAGCACAGGGAGGAATGGGGGTGGCTTTCCTCCACGGTGGCCAGGACCACCGAGATGTCCCTGTTGGCTTGTTGGCTGCTGCTGTGGGCTGTACTAGGGCACTGTATCCCAGCAAAGGGCTCAGGAGCAGTGAGGCGTTGCCCTCTATTTGCTCCTGTAAGAGGCAGCGAGCCATCCACCCCACAACTTCAGCATCACTTGGGTCCTGTGCATGCTGTGTGCTCCAGGCCCTGTGCCAAGGGTGCCTTTCCTGGTTTTGGTGCCAAGTAGAGGAGCAGGGCTCTCCCTGTGCTGCCTGTGGTAGTGGGTGTCCATAACTCCTAGCTGGGGCAGGAGGCCTCTCCCTGCCGTGCACTGCCATGTGCATCGACAGGTGCTGGTGGAGAGGGACCTGCTGCCCTGCAAGCAGAAGCCAGCCCTGCTGGTGAAGATTGCCCCTGACCTCACCGCACAGGACAAGCAGGACATCGCCAGTGTTGTCTGTGAGGTGAGGAAGTAGGAAGGGAAGGCCACCGGAGGCAGGATGATGGTGGTCCCAGCAAGTCACGTCTCGGAAGGACACGTATGCCTGCAGCTCTGTGGCTGCTAGAGGGACGGTGTCTGGGTTGGTCAGAGTCTGTGAAGGCCCATGTGTGTCACCCAGGCAGTGAGGGGCAGCTTTGGGTTACGTGCTGGGTGCTCCTGACCCGGCAGGAGGGGAAGGGGAGGTCGGGCTGCTTCGGGAGCCGTGTCCTCACCCTACTGCCCCTGCAGCTCGGTGTGGATGGGCTGATAGTGAGCAACACCACGGTGAGCCGGCCCAGCGGCCTCCGGAGCCGGCAGCGCGCGGAGCCCGGCGGCCTCAGTGGGAAGCCCCTGCGGGAGCTCTCCACGCAGACCATCAGGGACATGTACGCTCTCACTCAAGGTGAGGGCTGGGCAGGGCTGGGGGCGCCTGCCGGCGCTGCCCGTGCCAGCCTGAGCCGGTGCCCTGCCCTCAGGCCGGGTGCCCATCCTGCCTGTGCCAGCCTGAGCCGGCGCCCTGCCCTAGGCCGGGTGCCCATCATTGGCGTGGGGGGGGTGAGCAGCGGGCAGGACGCCCTGGAGAAGATCCGTGCCGGAGCCTCGCTCGTGCAGCTCTACACGGCGCTTGTCTTCCACGGGCCACCAGTGGTGGGGACAGTCAAGCGCGAACTGGAGGAGCTGCTCAGGTGAGTGGAGGCCAGGCACATCCCCAGAGAGCCCCTGGTCCTAGCACAGCTCAGGACAGCTGTGTGCTGGTGCCCAAGCAGTGCCAGCCCAGTGCTAGCACACACCATCCCTGGCTAGGGAGCAGGGCTTCAAGAGCGTCATGGAGGCAGTTGGAGCAGATCACCGCTGCTGACAGGCTGCAGGATGAAGGTCTAGCTGGGAGGAGCTGTGGCAGACAGGGATGGGTGTGACAATGCCAGTGCTGGGCAGACTGGGACTGAGATGAGGTCCTGGTTCCAGGACCTTCGTGACACTGCTGCTTTTTCAGGGCTGTGTTTTGGCTTCCCTGTGGACAGCAGAACTGAGTGTCAATAAACATTTGGCTCACCTGGTCCTCTGTGCTGCACTTGGGACACCCCATGGGCTGAAGGGATGCACCTTAGCTCTCCTCAGCTGAGCAGAATCGGCTCTCCATGTTGCTCTCACTTTTCCTGGTGGGAGAAGCCACCAGGGTAGCTGAGCTCTGGGCTGGACTAACAAGCGCATCCGACCTTCCCTGGCAGAGACTGCTGCCTGAGGCCAGGCCCTGGGGCGGGAGGGAAGGCAGTGATGGTGCTGGGTGCCAGGACACAGCTGTTTTGGAGATGGCTGCAGTCATGCCTGTCAGCTGTGGAAAGGGCCTGATCAGAGGTGCTGCTGTTTGTTGGTTTTGTCTCTGGGATCTCTGGTGCTGACTTGTCCTTCACCCCGAGCTCACTGCAGTCATGTCGGGCTTTTCCTGAGCAACAGCTCGCCCTGCACAAAGCATTCCCTCAGCAGCCTCTCGCAATCCACCCTGCAGAGCAAGACTGCGCAACAGCACTTCACCAAAATTGTTTACGGCTGCTGGGAAGCTCGGCACACTGGCTTCCTGTCAGGGCTCGGCAGCTTCCCGGGAGCCTGGTGCTAAGCAAGGTGGGGCTGTTTGTGCTCTTCCTGCTGGGACTGTGCTGGCTGCAGGCACCAGGGGCAGGCGGGCTGGAGCCCACGCGCTGCGCCAGGGCGAACGAGGTGGTGAGAAAAGGGGCGAGGAGCCAGCCCCGAGCAGGAACGACCTGCAGGAGGAGACTGCTATGAGCTGCCCCGCTGTCCCGCTGTCTCGCTGTCCCGTCCGTCCGGGACTCCGCGCCCACGGGACCACGGGGAGGTTGCGTAGCCGGAAGTCTGCTCCGGCAGGGGGCGTGGCCTGCCGGCACTCTATGGTGGCGGCTCTGCCATAGGCTCTGCTCGCCGTCTCTATGGTGCGCGGGGCTAGAGCGGCTCCTCCCGCCGAGCACTGTGGGGCGGCTATGGCGGCGCTCCGGGAGCCGCGTTACCGGCGTTGAGGGAACTGCGGGGCCCGAGCGGCGCTGCGGCCACGATGGAGGCGGGCGAGGAGTCGCTGCATCGGCTGTCGGGGACGGGCCCGAGCGGCGAGGCGGGCGGGCTGGTGCTGCGGGCGCGCGGCGCCGAGCAGCACGTCTTTAAGGCCCCGGCCCCGCGCATCTCCCTGCTGGGACTGGACGTGCTGGCGGCGCAGAAGCGGCGGGAGCGGCAGGAGGAGGCGGCCGGAGGGAAGCGATCCCGTGTCGCATCCTATAAGGACTGGGAAGAGGGCCGTGACGAGGCGGGCAGCGCCGAGGAAGAGGAAGAGGACGAGGCCAACCGGAGCGACCGCAGAGCTCGCAGGAACAGGTGGCGTTTGCGGGGGAGCCCCGGGTGCCGGCGCTGGCCGCGCCCGGCCGGGCTGGCAGCGCAGCGCAGCGCAGCGTGGGCACCGTCGGTGACAGGCGGGGCTGCGGCCGCCGGCGGGGAGGGAGGAAAACTGCGGGGGACTGCGGGGCGATGTGGCACAGGCTCCGACTGGAGCTGTACGGGACCAGCCGAGGGGCAGCTGTTGCTCAGCACTTCTGAGCATTTCTCCTCTCTGCTCTGCCTGTCCAGACATTACCGCTCAGTCCACGTGGAGACACCTTCCTACACAGGGGGTGTAAGCGAGGAGTTCCTGGAGCGCAGCCGGCAGCGGGAGAGGGAGCGGCGGGAACATGGAGTCTTTGCCTCCTCCAAGGAGGAGAAGGAGCGGAAGAAGGAACGCAGTAGGGATCGGGACCACGATCGTAAACGAGACCGTGGTAATTGCTCAGAGACCTTTGTGTGTTTCTTGGTTTGGGTCTGGGTTTGTCCTTTGCCTTTTTTTGTAGCCTTCACTAATGTTTGTGGTGATTTTTGCAGCAGACTTGCGAAGCCTGTTTGTGCAAGAGGCACCTGATCCTATTTTGTTTTTGCAGAGGAGCGGGACAGGAGTCATCACAGCAGATCAGAGAGGGACGGCTCATCAGAGCGGAGCAGCAGGAGGGGTGAACCTGAGAGCCCCCGACATCGGCCCAAAGGTGGGAGTGGGACCTGGTAAAGCTCTTGTGTGAGACCTAACAGGGTTTGGAGTTTTTTATGCTTGGGTTTTTTTATGCTTCCTGCTGTTTTTGCAGGACAGGGGTGATAGAAAAGTTCGTACCTTGTAATGTTTGTGGTTGAGGCAAGCATAAAACTCCCAGCTCAACTCGGATCTGGGAGCAATGTGCCAGCTGTGCATGTTTGAAACTCTGGCAGATCTTAGCAGAGATCTCGGTGGGGTCCGATCTGGGTCTGTGTGATAGAAATATGATCCTTTGAAATTCCTTGGAATCACTAGGTCAGTCCCTTCGTTAGACGGAGGGCCAGTGAGCACCCTCTCTCCATGCTCCTTTCTTGAAAGATGTTAGGTGACTCCAGTGCCCAGGGCCGCTGCTGGAGCAACAGGTGTCTAACCCCATCTCTTGTACCAGATGCAGCCACACCGTCTCGCTCCAGCTGGGAGGAGGATGATGGTGGCTACAGCAGTGCCCATCGCTCACAGTGGGAGTCTCCATCTCCCAGCCCTTCCTACAGGGACTCAGAGCGTGGCCACCGGCTGCCGTCGCTGCGGGACACGGACCGGCGGGAGCGGGACAGGTACCGGGGCCTGAGGCTGTGCTCCGGGCTGTGGGGCTGCAGAGGGGACTGTGTGTGTGTGAGAAGGCTCTGGCTGGGCGCCAGTCCCTGCCACTTGCTGTGTTTCAGGTCTGTGAGGAGCCGGTACTCCGATAAGACGCCGTTGCCAACCCCATCGTACAAGTACAACGAGTGGGCTGACGACCGGAGGCACCTGGGGGCCACGCCGCGCCTGTCCCGAGGGAGAGGTGAGCAGTCTGGGCTGAGCTGCCCGGGATGGGCAGTGTTGGATCCCCTTTACTGTGGCACAGAGTTGGGGTTTCCCTGGGAACATTCTGGGCTCTCTGGCTCGCCCCAGGGCGGCGCACAGAAGGGGAGGAGGGCATTGCCTTTGAGACGGAAGAGGAGCGGCAGCAGTGGGAGGACGATCAGCGGGTGAGTCTGGCACGGGCCAGGGGCTTGGGGCTGCCGGGATGGGGATGAGCAGAACTCAGTGCTGCACCTCTCCCTTCCCAGCAAGCTGACCGGGACTGGTACATGATGGATGAGGGCTACGATGAGTTTCACAACCCTCTGGCTTACTCCTCTGAGGAGTACGTGAAGAAGCGTGAGCAGCACTTGCACAAGCAGAGGCAGAAGCGGATCTCGGCACAGCGGCGGCAGATCAATGAGGTAAGGCCAAGATGCAGGGTTGGCTGCTCTGAACTCGTAGGGTTTGCTGCCTCTTGAAAGATCCACTTGTTGAGCCCTTGCTCCCAGGTGGAGGAGGACACTCTTAGGCCAGGCTGAAGGAATGCTCACAGGGAAACTGTGGTTGAGTTCCCCTGGAAAGCCCAGCCCTGCAGCTCCTGCATGGACAGAATTCCCAGTTGGAGTGGCTGGTGGATTGCAGTGTCCAGGGCAGCAGAAGTGCAGAGGACCATGTTCCTGCTGTTCTAAGTGCGAGGTACATTACTGGGGCTGTCTGCTGTTGGCCCAGTGGATGCTGGGGACAGCTGCTCTCTTTACACGAGCAGGATGGTGTCCAGGCTTCCTGATGTATTCTGACTGCCTTGCAGGCAGTGTCTGTCCTGCATTTTCTTGGGGACAAACCTGTTGACCATGTGTTTCATGTGGGTAGTTTCCTGTACTCTACTCCTTCCAATTACTGTTCCTTCCCTTTTGCTTACTGTGAGACTCACTAGGTTTGAACCATCCTGTTGCCAGAGCAGAGCCCAGGCCCAGGCTTGGTGTTCTAGTGTGATGTCTGTGGCTTTCTGTGGGGCTTCATTGTGTTTCTGATACGTTGTTTCCTGCAGGATAATGAGCGCTGGGAGACAAATCGCATGCTGACCAGTGGTGTGGTCCATCGGATTGAGGTGGATGAAGATTTTGAGGAGGATAACTCTGCTAAAGTGCATTTGTTGGTGCACAATCTAGTGCCTCCTTTCCTAGATGGAAGGATTGTCTTCACCAAGCAGGTACAGACTGTGGCTGAAGGCACTGATGGCAGGGAGCCCTGTACATGTGAGGCCTTTTTAGTAAAGCAATGCCTTTTCCCTGCAGCCAGAGCCAGTCATCCCTGTGAAGGATGCCACCTCGGATTTGGCCATCATCGCTCGGAAAGGCAGCCAGCTGGTGCGCAAACACCGGGAGCAGAAGGAGCGTAAGAGGGTATGCTGCAGCCCTGTGCCTTGCTGCCTGCTGTACACCCTGTGTAGTTCCTCAGAGCCTTGTTTGGACTCTGCAGCATTCGGGCTTTGGCAGGCAGGGATGATAAGGAGTTCATATTTTTGTGACCTGGGACGTCCTAGCAGCCCAGCTTACTGCATTGCCTCGCAGCAGCTGCTGTGGCGTGATTTTCTTGTGCGCTGCCTTGGGACATGAATCACCATGCATTTGAACATTTGGATTATGGGAGAAGGAAGCAGATGGAAGAATGCCAGGTAGCTTAGGGACTGTCAGCCGGCAGTATGGCAGCAGGATTTACCTTGTCACGTCTCAGCAGAAGACTTGTGAGGAGAAGTATGGGGTGAGGTAGCAGGTTAGTTTTTGGGGATGTTTTCTAGGGACTTTTTCTAAAGCTCACATAATAGCAGTGGGGAAAATACAGGTGTGTTCCTTGTACATTGAAACTGGGCTGGATTTGACCTACTTAAATTACGAGTGGAATGGTGGTGGTAGCTAAACTGGCAGCAGAGATGGGAGAAAAGCCTGTTGGCACTTGGCAAGGGCAGGAAGATTATCTCTGGTTCACATCTGTTTAGGTTTAAGTTCAAATTTAATGGAAGGGTCAGCAGCTGGAGCTATTTTCTTAGGAAGCAGTTGGTAATCCTTTGCCTGAAGTCTCTGTATCCATCTCAGTGCCTTAAAATTCTGCTTCAGTTCATTTGGAAGAGGGGAACCTGATGTAGGAGTG